AATGGCATCCACAAACCGGAGCTCAAACTGAAAGGAAAATTCAGAGTATCGCAATGTGGCCGACTGTTCTGCCAACCAGGTTACCATGAAATATCTTTGATGTTTTAAGAGGCTTTACAAGTACTTGGAGACCAATGCATTTGGAAAACAGTTTATATTACAAACAATATTTTATGTAGCACCAAAGTAAAACCAGAACACATAAAATGCAAGCCCAACACGCAGCAATGTCCACTGTGAAAAATGATTCTGTCCTTCATGCTATCATCACTTGATAAGGTACATGATGTAAACATTTGATTATATTGTACCTGATGGCATTTTTATTTTCCAAGCATTCTCTTCCAGCAGTAAAACTGGTGCATTTAAATTATCACCAGATTGCATTCTGTCTGCCAACAGCAGGCAGTCATTTATTTATTTTAACTTTTATTTATCCAAATTTGCACACAAGAAAATGTTCAGTGCCACAAGCATGTGCAGGGCTCTGAGCATCATCACTACACATAATTCTCACTTTCCTCTTGCATTTCTTAGTTGTCCTCTCCTCAAACTGAACCAGGAGCACTCTCACCCTGAGGAGCACTCAGAGCAAGGAGGCCATGTCCCAGAGACCTTCCTGAGCTTCATGGCTGGTGGGGCCTCTGATGGACCCCCCAAGGGCAGGCACAAGCTTCAGAATCCTGACCAGCAGGAGCATCTCTGGACCACCTCCAAGCATCGACTTTGGGGGGAACAAGCAATGTGTCTCGCAACACCAAATCAACATCATCAACAGTGCCATTGCACAAGCACTTCAAGTCACCATGAGCCAGCACATAGTCACATATGCCCCTCTCTGCCCCACTCATCACCCCTTTCCCACTCACTGCTGCATAGCAAACCACACTTGGGATATGTGCGAGGTGGATTTTGCATGGTTAGCCCAGACCCTCCAGTAACGAGGCACATCATCATGCTGAAGGGATTCTCCCAGACCCAGCAAACGGTCTTCCCCATGGAAAAAGCTCTCTGATATGTCGAAGGAAGATATGGAAGGATAAATGCCATTCTCTGAAAAGCTCATACATCGGCTATGGATAGTGGCACTTTCAAAAGAGGCTACTCATGGGTAAGAAACAGGCAGAAAGCCCCTGCAAAGGACTTATCTATGATGACAGACCTCCCTCAGCTCTGTCCCTACCATCACGACTACATTCATTCTTCTTTTATTCTGTGGCAAAAGACAAAGAAGAGTGAAAAAATGAATGTAAGCACTTTACAAGGTGATTTTTTACTCTTGTTCTTCCCCCAGAGGCCTTCTCCCATTTCCCATGGGAGGTGGACACTACAGTAACAGCAGCAACCAAATCCCACCAAAGGCATTTGGTCCTCTTGTTGCTGGTGCTCTACTTCATGACACTAATTAAAGTCTTGGAGAAAATAGCACAGGATAATGATAGTAACAAGCAAAGGATATGAGGTTTATTGATCAAATCAGATACTGCACTCTTTCATTACTGCAGCATCCTCCGGGTCTCATCTCTAAAACCCATGGCACAGGAACTGTTATCTCTATTTTACAGATAGAGCACTGGAACAAAGAAAAACCATCCCAGGCTCTGCTGCTCTCTGTGGATGCTTCGCTCTCCGTAGCCACACAGAGAGCACAGGTACTCAACTTTCAGACGGTTAAAACTGTCCCTGAAATTCCTCCTCAAAGCTCACTCAATTAGTCCTCAAAACAAGCATCATCTTAACCGTATTTTACTGTTGAGCAGTCACTTCAGGATGTGAAGAGGACTGCATGACTGACCATGTCTTGTCCAACAGACTTGGGCTAAGAGAGAAGAGTCTTCCTTTACTTTTGGTTTCCCATGATGCTGTTGCATTTTCCTACTGAAATTTTTAGAATTTGATAAAGGAAAAATTCAAATTCACTTGCAGCCAAACTGACAAAACACAGAAACCAGGCATTCTCCTAGAGAGTGCCCAGTCTGGGATCCTGACATCACTAAGTGTGGAATTAAAGGGATGGCAGAGGAAAAGCTCTGATAAAACTGGTTAGAAAAACAAGAGTGGGTCAAACTAGAAAGTGCCTTTATCTTTGAATTTATCCTTAATTTTTCTATAGCCTGAACTGAGAGCAGTAATCCCACCGAAAGATTTGCCCTATGGAGCAAAATAGAGTAATACAACACTTCAGTGGAACCGAAAGTCCTACTCCCACAAGCAGAAATTCTTCAGACACCCCAGAAGATGGGAATGCATCCCCTGCCGATGTCCATGAACGTATCTGCTCACACATCCACACACTACGTAAAAACTGAAATCAATGAGTTGTTATAGAAATAAAAGCGTTTCATTAAATATCTTGCCCTGTTTATAATGGATAGAAGCTTCTAAAATAAATATTACAAAATTACTGAAAAGAACTAATTTTTATGACAATTGAATAAATGCTATGCTAGTTAGGGAAATTAGGCTAAGTTGATGTGAACACACATACTTTCCTCCTACAAGAAAAATAATCAAAGCACTACATAATATCTGCTTTGTCCATTCGTCTCCAAATTGACACTTGTTAGGATCTGAATAAAGCGAGCAGAAATCTAAACAAGAACAGATTAAAGAAAATTATCTTGTAAATACCTGTTATGCTCCTGCTTATTATAACCATTTTCAAGTTGTGTTTCTCATTTCTTTCAGAACTTGTGAACTGCTGCATCTAAAAGCAGTGCTAAAAATACATAAAACCAGAACTTTTCCTCCAGTAAAATACAGGGGGAAAAAAAGTAATCCAAGCAATGCATCCATCAGGTATTCAATGCCTTTGGAAGTCAGTGGGAGTCATCCCTATGGGTCCATCAGGACCTGGCTGAGGTCCTGAAGAAGGTGGGAACTCCACATGCTAAATCCTGGGTAACATTCCCCATGATTCAGCCTCAACCATCCCTTCCTCTAACACGAAATGCCCACGAAAGCTTCCTGCAACTACCAGCATCTGCTCCAAAGCTTTGAAATGCAGACCAGGATAAATAGAAGAGTTTCTATGATTGCAAAAGACTTGGGATGAAGTCTTCCAGGGCAAAACGTGGGACACATCACAGCTATTACACAGAGCCATGTCAAGAGTGCTCCTGAATACTTGTTCTTTCAGCATCCCCCAGTGAACTGAGCTTCTGAGGATTTAAAAACAAAACAAAACAAAACAAAACAACCAAAACCAATCAAAGAAAAAAGGGCAAGCAAAGCTGGAAATTACTTTTATTACTTGAAAACACAGAAACGGCTCCTTCTGGGGTCATAATGCTCCCAAGGACTGGTATGAAAAGAGGGCGTAAGGTGAGGAGCAGAAAAGGTCTTGACTCTATGTAAGCACAGCTCAGCAGTAACAAAAACATCCCTGTGTTATCAACACTGTTTCCAGCACCAATCTAAAACATAGCCCTGTATCAGCTACTATGAAGAAAATCAACTCTATCTCAGCCAAAACCAGCACATCTGGCCAGTCCTTTGCTGTTTGTGACTGCTGGGGTGGATTTCACAGAATCACAGAATCGCTCGGTTGGAAAAGACCTCTGAGATCATCATGTCCAATCGTTGATTTACCTCCAATGCTTTCCACTGAAGGTCTTGCTTTAACAGGAACAGTCTCCACACGCGTATTTGTACATGAATTGAATTACTTGAAGAAGCCTCGATCATTTTCATGACCATCATCCACACATCATCACAATCAACCCAAACCAAGATGTTACAATAACCTTGCTGGACTGTGGAAAAGATTATGTACATTGACAAAAACATAACATAAACTAAACGGCTAAGATGGAGAATCCAAGTAGGCAAAACCCAAAATCTTTTCTATTTCTCACAGCAAATCAGTAACAGAAAAGGGGAAAGAAGTAATTTTTCAGCCTCTTTATTCATGAGGATCATTGCTCCACTGCTTATATAGCAATGTATATAGAACCCAAAACCAGAAGGCTCCATCTTTCCTTGCAGGTTTGACTCTCAGTAGGCCCTCGGTGTCACCAATCCACAGGATTTTTGGCTGGGACAGAAGCAGGCTTTGCTAAAAAGCTGTGCCGGCACAGCAGTAAATAGCTCTGATGAGAGCAGATACCGTAACATGTAATCAAGCACACAAATAATTTGTTATACAACAGACCTTGGGAAAAAAACAAATCAGCTGATTATTAGTAATAACTATGCATATTGCAGCATCACATCCCTGGAGGCCCCACAAGAGGTCAGTTGTGCTGAGCACAGAACACTGTTAAAAAGAAAAGCTGCCATAATATTTGGGCATCTGAAACTGGAATTAATGAGGGCAGCACAAGTCACTTTATAAAAAAATGAAATTAAGTACCAACAATACAACAGACACATGAAAGTCATTTAGCAAACATCTTTATCAGATACAGAGCAACAAAGAACGGCTCATTATTTCCCATAAAACCTGTCAAACCAGACTTTTCATTTTTCAATAATAAACACTGAGCATTTCCAAAATAACTGATTTCCCCCTATGTTTTCCTTCCCAT